TCGTTGTTTCTTTTCATCCAGTATATCTATGGAACATAATAATTATTCTCTCTCGTTGCAAAGGACGGATATAGCACGGACGTAGGGGGTGGTGAAGAAAGTAATAAAGGTGAGCAGTGTTGAGTGTGGGAATTGATTAATGTATCTGCAATGCTAAAATGCTATGGGAAGAGACTGTAGACTGTAGGTTAAAATGGTTACGAAGCATTAATCGATACATATTTTCGATGTATACAATTGTTTACAATAGAAATTTACAACTGAGTTGACAACAGCTGATTTTTACTCCATAGAGGCTAAAAATGATTCTTACTCCCTAAAGAGTGACCCGCAACGCATGCATTAAAAACGACTGTGTTTATGTAGTATGACAAAAACAATATTATTATGAACCCTTGATGATTCCGCTCAATTTTGTGGATGCTTCTGCAAACGCCACCTAGTAGTTTAAACCTACCATTGCCAAGTGGCCACCTCAGCATACAAAAGTGTCAGTCACGAAATGGCTAACAAAATACTAAAAGCTTTTTGGTTATTAGAATTTGTAAGTAAATTGTAGTGGAAAATATAAACTTAGTTCCAGATCATAACAGCTGTTGCATTTGAGACTAAAACTTTAAGATGCTGTTTGACTTCTGGCCAATTGATCATACATTTAAATAGCTCATAAATGTATTTGGAAGAATTAATAATTATTTACCACTAGGCTTTCTATTGTAGCGAGAGAAGTGTCTTGCTTGCATTCAAACACAAAAATGAACACCTTAAATAAGTAAAATTAATTATGAGAAATATCAGAGATTCCAAATATAAACTTTCAATCCTAGCCAAAAAACAGTAACTAACTGAGAGAAACTTATCTTACATATTGGATATTGCAGTGAATCTATCCACTAGTGTGACGTCATGAACCTTCAGCATGGCGTGTTTTTCTAGTGGGGCCTTGGTCAAAATCCCAAACAATGGACTTTGACAGGTAGAATGTACAGTCAGGTCCCAAAACAAGAGACTTGAGACAAATGTCCATATTCGTCGTTGCACGACACGACGAGACTGGACACATTCAAATGTGTCCAAGCTTAACGTTGCACGCAAACGACGAACCTGGACAGGTTTTTAAGTTGTCCAGGGGTGGCGCTGCACGACACGACGAATATGGACACATTCAAATGTGTCCAAGTTTAACGTTGCATGCAAACGACGAACCTGGACAGGTTTTTAAGTTGTCCAGGTGTGGCGCTGCACGACACGACGAAACTGGACACATTCAAATGTGTCCAAGTTTAACGTTGCATGCAAACGACGAACCTGGACAAGTTCTTAAGTTGTCCAGGGGTGGCGTTGCACGACACGACGAATCTGGACACATTCAAAAGTGTCCAAGGGTAACGTTGCACCATGTTGCACGCAAACGACAACCCTGGAAACTTAATCTGTCCAACTTTAACGTTGTCCGCGTGTGTCGTTGTCCAAGTTCGGCGCGGTCCCGTCGAGAGGCCACGCTGCACTGTCATGTCAGCCAATCGACGTTCGTGTTTCAATGGAGCAAATGACGATTGCTTTGATGACGTGTTTTATTGTGGGAAGGGTTTAGAGATACATTGATAAATATCGAGAACCGATAGGTAGGATGTGTTTGTTTATAAAGAGTATATAAAGAGTAAATTAGGTTACAAGTTTAAAGCGGTGTGATTTCTATTGTCTTACAAAGACCTAGATTTGACGTTCAATTATGTCAGTTAACTAAATCTTGACATATGGCTTTACATAATATTTTAATAAAACATCAATTTTTCCGATTATATATCAATATGAATATTTTTGGGTCAAAACATTGATTGTTCCAATCGATCGTTGCCACCCCTTCACGCACGGAAGGAAGTTTAAGTTGTAGCATAGACTAACCAACACAAGCACAGAAAACATATTACTATAACCCAGAATGCCAACCGCATGGTAAAAAGCATTAAGTGTTTTGAGAGAGCTTTGCCTGTCAATCGTAGGCAGCGCCACCAGCGTTGCCATGCACTCAGCATAGCAACGCTGGTGGCGCTGCCTACGATTGACAGGCAAAGCTCTCTCAAAACACTTAATGCTTTTTACCATGCAGTTGGCATTCTGGGTTATAGTAAAATGTTTTCTGTGACACAAGGGAGCATGTTTTATCTATGGTTGTAGTTACGTCTACCCGGCTGGTTCACAGTGAATCCACTCTGCCCAGCCTTGCTCTTGGTATCATCATGAACATAAACACTTTTGTTATTATTTAAAACTATGGAATGTTTGTTAAAAGCACCTGAAGAAACATATTTTGCTGCACAGTGCACACGATTCTTTTACACTGTAGGCTGTGATTTTTTTAGAAAAAATTGTCGCATAGTTGCACATTAACTTATTGAAATTAATTGTATCAAACGTGCAGTCTTTTCTCTTTTATTAAGGAGATTTAAGTCCCAAACAAAACATATTCTTTCTTTTCTTGTAGGCTAAATTAAAAGATATCTTTACATATAAAAGTAAAGGAAAAAACTGACAAATGGCTGATAAATTCTGATAAGCCCATTTATAAATTAGAGTAAAGTTCCATCAGATCTATGCTTTAGTCATTGAATTCAAACATTTATTTTTAAATTAACACTCAGAAACTTTTGTTTAGTAGAATTATGCAAGCGACTGAGGGTGAGGGAGGGCATGTCAACCAGACTTTACAAAGGGCAAGTCTGCCATTCTGATAAACTTTCTCTTTTCCTACCCCTTGTCCCGTTAGACAGGAGAGGGGGAGGGGGTGCTTCACTTTACACTAAACGCTCGCAGTAGAGTTGAGTTGTTGTGGTAGTGATGTCATTCTATTACTGTCTGCTCTTCACAGCTCACTCATCAGCGGTTTTCGTGAAATCATAATTTATAATTTTTGTTGATAATCAGTAAAAAAATGTTGGCCTCCTCACCCATGTTCAAGGCAAAAAGTTAGGAAATAAAATGTTTTTAAAATGTGGTTTATTTTATTATTCTGTATTTAAAAGATATTGTAGTTTATTAATGTGTTTTCAGCTAGACTTAGTGACTTATTTATTTTCATAGTTTAACTCATGTTGAAGATATAAATAGTGAGAAAATGACATTATATATTATTTAAGTTCTAATTAATAACAATAATCTTTTTGGTAGGCCTCACTGATCTCTTTGAACTTTTTAGTTTACACACACTTCTATTAATTTCAATCTTTATTTTTAATTTCACATCTATTTATTCATAGCATGCAATAATGTATCAAATAGACAGTAAACACTGGTTATCAACTTTTTTTGTTCATCCTGATTTAAGAATGATCCAGAAGTAAAGAAAGCCAACAAATATAAATGTTAAAATTAAGTTACAATTTTCACATTTACTACATCATAAAATAAACTCTATTTTATTTAATACATGTCAATAATAATAAACTTAACGATTGCTTTATTGATATATAGGCTTATTCTAATTGTTAGTGAAGGGTGAATTTCCTTAGGCCAACCATAAAATTAGCAGTGTCCATTAGTGAGGTTAGGTCAGCAACTATCCTCTTGTTCATAGTTTTATTTTAGTACATTTTTACTTCAACTTTTTTTAAGGTAAAGGATCCATTACAGAAACACATGTTGTATTTAATTTTTAAAGAAAATCATGCCGTGCAGCATCGAATCGCATCGATTCGAATCAAAATTCTTTGAATCGCATTGATGCATCGAATCGAAAAAAATATGCTGCATCGCACACCCCTAGTCTACATACAGCATACTGAAAGCTGACAAAAGAAGAACTTCAGAAACTGGGAAGAGAGATCCTTCCACATCCCCGCTACAGAGCCGACCTCGCCCCATCAGCCTTCCATCTGTTTGGACCCCTGAAAGATGGTCTACGAGGGATATTAAATCAATCCAATGAAGAGATAAAAGACAAGTGCAAAAGTAGCTTCAAGATCAACCTTAAGAATTTTATTTTTATATCAGAAAAATGGGACAAGTGTAAAAAAGTTGCTTGGGACTATGTTAAAAAGTAACCAAAGTTTTGTACTGATTCAATATACCGTTTTTGAGCAATAATAACAATGTCTTGTATAAGTAAATTCAATAAGTATATTGAATGGCCCTCGTAACACATATAGTTATTACAACAAAGTTCAAAGGTACATTCATATTTTGAGGATAAAATAATTTTATAGGATTTTTTCTCAGTTTTGAGATTTCTGTAGCATTCATGTTGTATGTGAAGCTATAAAAGGGATTTCAAAATTAACAAAATGGTGCATGTTTGAGCTCTCTAGGTGGAATGGTTTTTAAGTTACATAATTTTGAAACAATCGTAAAACCGTAATTTTTTGAGATTTTTAAACCTGTTAAATTGAAAAATCAAAGGTCAGAAAAATGTTAAATTTCACATTTAAACTAGTTGTTGGTGGGTAGAACACCTGACAAACCTGTCAGCCAAATCTGAAATGTCGAGGTTCAATTAAATTGGTAAAATTAGTTGATTGGTATGGAATTACCCTAGAAAGAATATTAGGGCAAGTGTGAGACAAATAGCTAAGTAATGAAGGCAATTTCTTGTGTTTTACAATACAAAGTAAAATTACTGTTTTGAGGTCAAGTTTGATTTTTGTGAGAATAACGGGCATAACTTAGAAAGAAAGAGTCCAATCTGGCACAAGAAACATATTTTACACTATAAAAATTAAATTTTAATATTTCACTATCCAAATCCAATTTCTCTTTCATTATTCAATTAATTGCAACATTGACAGTTAGTTTGTAAAAATTGTATAATGATATTGTTAGCTCAACACAGCTTTGTTATTGTCTGATACTTTTTTTAAATGTTCATTATTTGACATTTCTGGTTTGGACCTATGTTAACTGTTCAACAGGTACAATTTTGTAACTATTTCTAAATAAATACAATTTTAAAAAATGCACTTATTTATTGGTCATTAAACGCTGAAGTTGTGTAATCTATTTTGCAGTAAATATTGTTTTGGTGCTTGGAAAAGAAAAAGCTATCGAACTCTATAATATAACCAAAGAAATTGAAGATAACGGTGGCATATATTTAATGGTATGTATATATTTATTTATTTTGTATATTTTGGTTTGAAAATATACTTGAATATACTTCAAAACGTAAAAATAGATCAGTTAGGAAAATTTTGTAAACTGATTGTTTAGATTATATATAGTTTAACCCTTTAAGCAGCGGCACTTTCTGCAGCTAAGGTTGTTTAGTTAACCCTTCGTCGGTGTCTTTGATTTTAAAACCTGATCGGTGAAACACTGAGTTTTTTTTTCGGGTGTTGAAACATTGGATGGACAATCAGTATAAAAACATATTAAAACCAAAACCTTACATAATCAATAAAACTGTTCATGAAATTTATTAAAACACTTACTGAACATAAGCCTACTTATAAAATATACAGCTAACAAAAACAACACAATCGAGGCCACACAGAGTTTTTTTCCGGGTTTTGAAACATCGACAAACCATTTTTTTCATACAAATATTATTACAAAAACGTATCAAAACCATAATCAATAAAAGTGTACATGAAATCAACAATTATTTATAAAATTATATATATTATTACAAAAACGTATTAAAACCATGTATGTGCACAACAAAATAAGTAAAATTTTCAACAACATTGTCCATTTTTATTAACTTGTATTCACTCTACTATTATCATCACTGGTTTTATATTGCCTATTTATAAGCACATTTTGTATTTTTTTCGTTCATCACTTTATATTAATATTTTTCATTATAGCTGTTTTGGGTTTATTTAGCTATTGTAAATTGTTTATAAATAAATAATTTATAAGATTCTATAAAAGTGTACATAAAATCAACAATTACATATTTTTTTTAATATATAGCAAATAAAAATAACAACACCATTGGTGACTCACGGAGCCGGGCACCATGCTACTTGACTCTTCAGGCCTCAACTGATTAATAGGGGTTTTACGGGGGAAGTGTGAGATCAAAAATGTTTTGTCATTTTCTAGAAAGATGCTAGTGAGGTACTGTTACTTCTAAAGCTGCCTTATGGTGAAATCACATATTTATCCATAAAAAAATGTGCCTGGAGGAAAGCTCCGTGGTACCATCGATGAAGGGTTAAATTTTTGGCTATTGATACAACTAGACATTCCGTACCCATGTTAAAGTTGTCGCCAGATTTAGGATCAAAATCCTCATAGTTGATGTGAGCCACCGCAAGATTGTGATAATATATATTACTAATTTCAGTCTATACACAAACTTGTTTACCAAGTCAAATTGATGGAACGAACTATTGTAAGCAACTGTTAGGACCCATCAACTATGTCAGTAAAAAAATAAGGTAGAAAAAAGAATTTTTGACACTACTGTTATTCTGTGACTGGCTCACATAACTAGGTTATTTTTAATAGAAAATTGGCGACAGCTGGTTCATGTAGATGGGATGTCTACTTCAGTATCCAATAGTCAATGGTTAAATCTAAAACATATAGATACCACTTGTTTGGTTTTCAAGATAAAGTAAACCTTATAGTTAAGGTGAGCTTGGAACTAAAGGGACAGATCATTTTTCAGGGTGCCCAATGCCCAGCTGAAATTATGAATGGAAAACCTTGAATTGTTTTTGGATTAAATTTGCATGGCTTATCGGACATTCTCTTATTCCATAGTCTAGACAAAAGATGTTTTGATGTTTTGAGATGTTTTGTGTGGATCTTGAACGATGATAAGTTTCTTTGTGTGTATTGTCCCTAGGGTAGTTTGTTTCATCAGGTTTGACCTTGAGGCTTAACAATGTATCTTTTATGTCCCTAAGTTCAGATTTTAAGTTGTCTAATTCGTCATTTTCATATGTTACCGACTTTGTTTGAGGTTTTATTAGGGTAACGCGTTCAGCTGAGGTTTGGTATTTTCTCTGATTTTTATTCCTAATAGCTCTTTGAGATTCAATTTTTAGCAGATTTTCGTTTAGCTGTTTAAGTGAGTTGTTTTCCATTCTAACTAGGTCATTACAAATCTCCGGTTTTATTCCCTGAATTACGAATTTTATTATTTTTTCATCATTCATATTGGGATCTATTCTGTGGGAAAAGTGAATGATTTCGTATAGGAATTGCATTGGAGATTCATTTTCTCCTTGTGTTCGATTTTCAAGGACCGTCTGTAAGTCATCAATTAATGCAACTGGGCTGAATGCTTTAATAAATTCAGACTCTAGGTTTGCCCAACTAGTTTCATTGTTTTCATGTTTGTAGAGTGCAAACCATTTATACGGGGTAGACGTTAAGTGTGTGGGGAAAAGTTCAATTTTAGTTTTTTCGGACCAATGGTTGCACCTTGATGCAATATTGAATTTTTGAATAAATTCATGTACATCTTCTGAAGGAAGACCTGAGTATGTGCCTGCTTTTATTAGGGGAAGTTTCTCTTTTGACTCATCAGCCATGTTTTTGTTGGTTATATATGATTTAGGTTGAGATACGATTTGTGTTGATGTGTTAGGGGTTTCTGGTTGGTTGTGATTTTGATGGGTTTCTTGATTTAAGTTTAACGAATTAAAGCTATGTAACAATTGTTCGTGTTCTATTATTGACCTGTTTTCATAAAGGTTTTGTGAATGTTCAGGTTCAGGTTGTGTTTGGTCGTCAGAAGTGTTTATAGTGTCATATGTTGGTTCTTGAAGTATTTTCTTGAATTTTAGCAAATCTCTAAACTGTTCTTTTGTTTTGTCTTCTAGTATGTTGTTAAAGAACAAGTCTGTTAATGCCTCAGCAAAACTAGGATGTCTAAATGCAGTCTTGAAAACATCTTTAGTGAAAGCTAATTTTGTTCTTAGATTGGCTAGGGTTTCGGTTTCAGGGATGGGTGGGAGTTGTATTTTATATTGACAAGCTAGTTGTAAAGCCTCAGTTTTGTTTAAGCTATATATGTCAATGTTAACAATTTCAAAATCTAAATCCATAAATTATCTTTTAAGTTTTAGTAATGTGACAAACCTACATAAGCTATTGTTACATTTGGTGGTTTTATAAGAGTTATGAGCCTAGCTAAGATATGTGTTTTTATTTGAGTTAGTGGCCTATATTGTTTTGTTCATAATCTTTAAGTTTTATCTTAAACTAACACCCTATACATTTTACGATTCGTGAGTCTGATACAGGGAGCGGCAGAAATATCTGACGGTTTTCAAGCGAGTACCGTCTGGCAGCCAAGTGGAGGAGGGTGGTGGGGAGCGGCTCATTCTCAAGGCCAAGTGAGACAATTTTAGTCGCCATAGAGCAGTGGACCGGTATACATCGCTCGTTTGTAGTTGAGGCGTATTTTAAAAATGGCAATTTTGTTGTTGATACGCAACGTAAGTTTCGTAGGCATTTTAATGTGGCTCGTGGGGAACCTATCCCATCCCGAAACACAATCGGATACCTTTAGATCCACAGGATCAACTGCAAAACGTAGGCCTACAGGCCGTCCAAGGTCAGTGAGGACGCCGGAGAACGTGGAGCGAGTGCGACAAACTGTGCTAACGAGCCCGCATCGCCCGGCGCGTGGACAAGCTGCTGCTCATGGCATGTCTGACCGCTCTACTCGACGAATTTTGCACTCAGACCTTCACTTTCACCCATATAAAATAGCAATCGTCCAAAAACGTCAGCAAAATTTGTCGAATAGAGCGCTCAGACATGCCATGAGCAGCAGCTTGTCCACGCGCCGGGCGATGCGGGCTCGTTAGCACAGTTTGTCGCACTCGCTCCACGTTCTCCGGCGTCCTCACTGACCTTGGACGGCCTGTAGGCCTACGTTTTGCAGTTGATCCTGTGGATCTAAAGGTATCCACCCACAATTTGATGGCGTTTCGGGATGGGATAGGTTCCCCACGAGCCACATTAAAATGCCTACGAAACTTACGTTGCTATCAACAACAAAATCGCCATTTTTAAAATACGCCTCAACGACAAACGCGCGATGTATACCGGTCCACTGCTCTATGGCGACTAAAATTGTCTCACTTGGCCTTGAGAATGAGCCGCTCCCCACCACCCTCCTCCACTTGGCTGCCGGACGGTACTCGCTTGAAAACCGTCAGATATTTCTGCCGCTCCCTGTATTAACTTAAGTGACTATAATTGACTATAAATAAACTAAAATAATTCACAAGTCATATAATTTGTTTCAAGATAATTTATTAAAATAAATGTATGATCGTTACTGTTTAGTTAAAATGCAAAGACAGCCTTCGCCGTGCGGCTGCCTCCACCATGCGAGTCCCATGCCTCACTTTAAGTTTAAGTTTCCTAAAATGATTCACTCGCTTAGCTTAGTCAAGAGGTGTTAGGTTAATGAGACATAATACTGCTTAAGGGTGTTACTCAACGTGTAATGAACAACAATTTAAATTTAGAAAAACAACAAAAGTTACAAAGTGTAACAACAACAAAAGAAAACTTTGAAAAGACAAAAAACAACAATAATAAGATAAATTAATTTACAATGTTAAATTTACAAGAAAAGAAAATCAATTGAAAATTTAAAAGAATTAGTTACTGACAAATTACATGACTTGTATGTTTGACAAAACTTTAGTTATATATTTTATTCTTTTTACATACTGTTAATTGTCCCAGAAGCACACGCACCGATACACGCACTCCCAAACTCTTGATCTTCTTTCTCCGGTGGCCCGTGGTGATCTCCTCGATTGTCCTCTCCAGGTCCTCCAGCTCCAAGACTCGTCACCCCTCCATCTTCTTCATTAGCCCTTCTCATTGGCTGATTACCGATAGGGTGTGTGGCTTATAGGTTAACGATGTTTCTTGGAAGTCAGCCCTACCGGTCATCGCCTAGCTCACATCAGCTGGGAAAGGAATTTGTAAATCGATGCGCATGCTACTGTTCAACTCTGTTCACACCAACTGGTCGACTAAGTGTAATGTGAACAGAGTGTCTGCTTAGATGAGCACCGTGGGTACGGGGTTAATCCCCTTTCTTACAGTAGCTATGGTACTTAAACGTTTTTGTGACAATAAAGCTTGATTTGATGTCCACAGAACGAAGAAAGGAGACGCACATCAGGTGGAGTGTATCTGCTGATGCTCAAACGAGATGACACCATACAATCTAAAGATATGAAGAAAATATTTGCAGATGACCTCACTGTTGTAAAAAATCTTAGGAAAAGAGCTTATAGGAGGAAAAAGAAGGCGAAACTACAAGATCTCAAAGAGACCTTGATTAGAGGTAAATCTTATCACACAAAATCTAGATAAGGGAGTTTCCTGGAAAGGAATAAAATTCAGGTAGATTACCTAGGAAATTTAGTCTGGCGGCTTAAACAAAAAATGTGAAAATGCGGCTTACCCATTTAGTCAGACTAGGGACTTTGCTTTTAATAATAGAATGATGAGAAATGATTGAAAATAATTTTCTAAAGAATATACTTTCTAATTATAAGTGATTTGTTGGATCAGAATATTGGAGTTAAGCCCCTGAACTCTTTTCTCAGGTTTAGTTTAACTGAACGGTGCTTATGAATAGTTCTCTGCTAATGGGTTCCTACTTAACCAGGATAACTCATTCATATTTTCTACAATTATCTGTGATAACTCTCTGTAAATCAAATCCTTAATAAGCCTATTTAAGGTTATTTAGTTTTTACATGTCTTTTACAGAATGCATCGCCTCCTATTTTATTATGAATACGCACTAATTATACGTATTTGTTTTTATATGGTAATAAAGATTGATTTAACTATATCACTCTATAACATGAACATTTTCAGCAATCCGACACATACTTTCTTAAAATTCATTGTAGTAGCCCCAGAACTGTAATAATGACTAATATTGGTTATATTGAAATGAAATGCTTTATTGTCGTTAAAACTAAGTACAAAGTTCATGACAATCGTCAAAAGAAAAAGAAAACAATCAAGATGGCTCTGGCATTACCTGTCATCAGTTCCAAATTGTAACTTTCGTAGAAGCTACATGTTTCGGCGAGCTGCCATTGTCAAGCATACAGTCCAGGAATGCACATTAAAAATCCGCTTGTATAGCTTCGTTGTTGGTTTACATGTATGACACTTAACACACAACACATAAATAAATAAAATATTAATTTGATGATATCTTTAACTTTAAGACAAATAGTACAGAGTGGCCGACAAGTCCCTTTACATTACACTAAAAGTAAATTCGATTGGTGTTGATAACATCCATAGAAATCTATTTAATCATAAATTTTCTGTGGAGTACACCAAGTGAACAACATTTTTAGACCAAAACATCGGCATGTATACGTCCATTGTCTCGGCAAACCTTCACTCGACTCAGAGTTCGTTGGCTCATTCGTTTCAGCATTTCTGGGGTAACTCAAGCAAAGGCCGCCCTTACTCTCTACTGGGTGTCGCCGCGTCCTAGGGATGTGGCAGTGGTTGGGAAGGGAGAGTAAGGCTTTATTCTCTTCCCCACTTCTTCACTTCTCTCACCGATCTTACTCCTTACGAACGAATATTTGCTGATCAGTCGTGTTTGTTACATTTTAATACGTACTGCAATTTTGTGTTGAGGGACTTTTCGGCCACCCTGTAGATCAAATTTATTATTTCATTGTTCGAAAGAATAGGCTCCCCTTTCCTTCTCCCGGCTTTGGGCAACCCTAACCCAACGTCCAAACAATTGTTTTGCGTTCGGTCAGACGTAAGTAATACAAAATCTAAACCTAAATTGTCATTATTGTGCTAGTATTTTATAGAAAATAATTATTTTGGTGTTATCTTTATTGTGTCTCGTTCTTGTAATTCTTTTGACTCCAGTTTTTTTCATTACTTCAAAGGTACCAAACTGGTTAGTGAACAGAATATTTAACATCCCTGTAAAAAGTTGGATTTTGAGTCTTGACTCGACCGCAAAACTCAACCAATTTGTTCCTCGAATATGTTTGATCAACATTGCTTTGCCTTTATTTAATTATGTTAATTGTTTTGGTGTTTATTCTTGCTTTCTGTTGTTATTTTGCTCAGAATCTATTGTATTCCTGTAAGCTTGCTGTCTCCAGTTTTGTTTTCACTACCTCATAAACACTGATTTATTTTCTAGGTTATGTTTACTTGCTCCCGTAACAGCCCGGTATTATGACAGCTCACTGCCACCGCCACCTGGATTTTACTCTAAACTCTCGTTTATAAAACCAGCGTTAGTTTTGACTCGTTTATGTTGGTGAAATCAGATTTCCTTAACTGTGGTTTAAATCATCGGTTAGTTTTAACCGAAGTTTAACTAAACCATCGTTAGCGAGAATTCGGTGAAATCGTGCCTAAAGCTCTATGTTTAAAACGGTTAAAAACTATGACTTGCCAAACTACTTAAAAAAATTAACGTCAATTCCAATTTTAAATAAACAAATAGATTTAATTCCTCACCTTAGCAACTGTGGTTGATTTTTCCCTTGATGATATTTGTCATCAAGGATATTGACATATCTACTACTGAGTCCATAAATTAACAATTAAATTTTGTAAATGTAATATATGCAGTTTTAACCCATATCTGTGATGTCATGTATATTTGTTAAACAAAATCCTATAGATGGATCTAGTTAATACATATTTAAATTAGTATCCCATGAAATCACTTTCTATATCATTATTTTTAACTAAAACTATAATTGCCAAGGTATAACTTAGCCTATTTGCTTTCATTGGGTGGAAAATATTAAAACCTCTGAGTTTTCTTACAATTTTTTAACAAAAGTTTTAATTGTTCCAGAAAAACTTTTAAATTTGAACACCATGGTTGGTGTGGAAAGTTCGGGGGCGAAACAATCACCTGCTGAGGTTGCCGAGAGCAATAATCTGGAAGAGGGGGAGGTAGAACTGAACGTAACCAATCCTCCGCCTTCGCCAGCGACCGACCAAGACACACCACCATCACGTGCGCTCGCAAGCAGCGAAGATGAGACTGAAATAGCAAGGAGGGAGAATCATGGTCGAACAATCATCACTTACGAAGACGATGACGACGACTATCTAGATATAGATGTGGACGATATGGATGTGTTTTGACTTGTAATATCAACCTCACTGTATATACTGTAATATTTTTCTAATGTATTTATACATTACCGTTCGACTCATTATTTTTTTAATTATACAAATTGCGAAGTGATTTGCTTGTTTTTAACTTATGTTGGTGAATTTCCCTGTATGTAGGTAGGTATAGTACTGACTTTTGGATACACAGAAGTAGGCATTAGTCCAGTCAAGGAATGAGGTGTAGAGTGCGTGAGCAGGTAACTAAGCGATTCCTTCAGAAACTTGTTCAGGGGGCTTATGGTGTTAACATACCAAAAGTCCTGACTCCTAGGTGTTGAGCCAGGTTGGTGGAGGGGGGAAAGGGGGGGGTTAAAGGTACACATTTTGGGTTTTTCGAATATATCTCGAAAACTATCAACTTTTTGTATACTATACCTACTAAATTATAAAATTGAAGAAGATTAAATTTCCTACAAGAAAATTATATAATATGTTTATTTTGGTTAAACAGATTACGAGTTATTACTTATTTAATTAATATCTTATTAAAATACTCCTTCCATAAGAAATACATGTAAATTAGTATGTGAAATGGGGTGAATCCTATCCGCCCTAAGGAAATATAACCGATATTCTGGAAATCTTGGTAAAATTTCCAGCAATTTGACACTTTAATCATACAATTTTGTCAAAAATTAAAGCGAGGGTAAGCGTTTAAAAACGGGATGATTTGAGGGTTTTTTCATAATTCTTAATAAAAAACAACGAAACACGAAAATTTTTTTACCTCGCCCTTGCCTTAATTTTGGAACAATTATTATGATTAAAACGTCAAATTACTGGAAATTTTGTCAACATTTCCAGAATATCGGTTATATTTCCTTTGGGCGGATAGGATTTGCCCCATTTCGCATACTAATTTACATGTATTTCTTATGGAAGGAGTATTTTAATAAGATATTAATTAAATAAGTAATAACTCGTAATCTGTTTAACCAAAATAAACATATTATATAATTTTCTTGTAGGAAATTTAATCTTCTTCAATTTTATAATTTAGTACAGTATACAAAAAGTTGATAGTTTTTGAGATATAATCAAAAAAGCCAAAATGCGTACGTTTACCCCCCCCCCCCTTTCTTTCCTCCACCCCCCTGACTCACCACCTATGAGTCAGGACTTTTGGTATGTTAACACCATAAGCCCCCTGAACAAGTTTCTGAAGGAATCGCTTAGTTACCTGCTCACGCACTCTACACCCACTTTTGGATCATTCATTGACTGGACTATCATATTTATGAACCAGTCATAGCCACCTACAAGCGTTCCCACAGGCAAGATAACTTTTACAAAAATATTGAAGGAATACAGATAAAATATATAAACCATCTATTACCTGAAAGTACAAAAACATGTCAAATAGCATTTTTAATCATATATGTTCACTTATACAATAGGCTTACTGTTTAATCATAAGACGGTAAATACAGATAAAAGATGGTAAGTTTTGATTGATTTAATTTGGACACTCCAATCATCATCAGACCCAATAGCGAATGACAAGAATCTTAATGGCGTCCCTTCTATACTATTTGCTACCGGAAGTACCGGCCAAGAGGTTTCTATAGGTACAACTGGAGTCAAATATCACTTGTTCATTAGTTAGCTTTTCTATTTTTACATTCATATTGTCATTCACCTATTGGGTCTAATGATGGTGGAAGTGCCCAATCGATCACCACTTACCATCTTTTATATGTATTTACCATTGGTGAGTAAACAATATGTGTTATTTGACGTATCTTTGTACTTTAAGGTAATTCAATAACACATACAATGCTGATCAAGAAATTTGTTAACCATCTACTATAAATAGTTTGAAATGCAGTCCAGATAAAAAGTGGGCTTACTGGTTTTCTTTATCCCAAAAGTGCATTTATTTTTCAACATCTTCCTTTTTACAAACTTCTACACAGCACAATAAAACAATTGGTCAATGACAGTCGGTCTGGTTAGCCTGTACTAATGTATTAGATGATACATCTCACCAGGATTGTAAAAAATAATCATAATAGCCCTCGCCTTATTCACTATCTTCATTTAAGAATGAGCGTGCATCTAGTAAAATAACTTTTAGCTTTCTTTAAACACAATGTATACATACATATGTTCAAATTTAAAAATATAATAAACAATTTTATTAACAAACAAGTGGGACAACAATTAATTAGAATACACATATTTTTTCAAGTATAGCATCCCTTCCATAAAGAGATAAAGGACGAGAAAACAATTTTTAGAATTTAACGTGGTGTACTTTTAGCTAATAATAGCTGCTATACAATCACCTGACTGATTTGATTTTAGGTTGTGACTTAATAATTTTATTGTAAACTACCTTATCTTCACATCTACCCCTCTCAATGTGCAGGGAAGAAGAGTTAAATACCATATTTCTGAATCTGTACCAAAGCCAGTAGCATTTTTATATTTTGTATAAGGGATTGGTCTTTTCATCTTCTCTTGGTTGTGGACCTACCAGAGATTTACTGTAAGGTCTCCACAACAAAGATGCATTTTAATACCACCCTCAAAAGGGTTAAGACAGATTTATAAATCTCTGTTGAAAAAGTGTTAAGTAAATGGCTATAGAGATATTTTTGTTTATTTCAAGCTGAAGCAAAACACTTTAATATAATCAACTAACATAATCATTTCAAGCTGAAGTAGTTTTTATTTTCTTTAACCAAATTAAATTGCAATCAGATGAGATTATTACCTTGGTATCTGGAAACAATTTAATTTCATGGTTGTTACAGATTCACACTTTCTTATGGAACAACATTTATTAGGCTATTTATGGCTTTACAATGTGTAAAAGTCCTAACTTACTGTTACTACTACTGATAAACATTATTGAATGGGAAATCAGATAAATAAAGCTAATATGATTTTTTTTTATATAAAAGCTTTATTCAAATAATATTTACATAACTGGATTGAGACAACAACTTTGTTTGGATGAAATTAGGACCCAATTAATGAAGAAATCCATTTAAAGGTCTGTAATCTGAAACATAAAGTTTAAAGTTGTTTACAGCTATGTAAATTGCTTATTTACCCACTGAAAGTAGTCAAATTGTTTGCATTACAAGCCAACTGCAAAGGCATACAAATTATTTAAATTCAAACTCAGGGTTATTTCTATGGTTATTATTAATTATACACAATGGCGGTCTTATATAGTGTTATCATATAGGCAAGTGCTAATAATTTCCACTATAAATTTATAGTATTTGTACTAGCCATAGCCACCAAAGACAATTCAAGTGGTAAATAAAGTAAAATACCTCCAGTACTATGAAATCTAAAATAACAATACATCCGCCGCAGCAAACCTCGAAGCGAATTTCCATCTGCCTGAATTGATTTTTGATTAACATTAGGTTAAAGAGTACCTTGGTTTGCTGCTACAGGGAAACTACGTGGAGGAAATAACGTGTGTTTTTTTTTTTTTTTTTTTTTTGTAAAATATTAATAGCTGAGTACTATAAAATAAATTAATTTACCAAGTTTGATAAAATATATCCATAAACAAGGATACTACATTTTACAATATTCTGCATAAGTAGCCTATAACGTGGGAATTTTAAATTATTAGCGAATTTCCCTATAGGGAAGTAGCTATTACCGTAGGTCTCATGGTAAGACCTAAGCCCGGGACCGATTTACTTTTTCATTTTGATGTCCCCAGAGGCCAAAAACACCATTCGTTCAAATTTTTATATATCTATATATAGATATATATATATATATATATATATATATACGTGTCCATCCGCACGATAACTTGAGTAATTTTTGTCCGATTTTCATAAAATTTGGTTTAAAGGTGTAAGGCGGGATAAACTTGAATGAGTTCGCGAACCAGCATGATCGGACTATGGGAACGGGTGTTTATGGGGGGTTTTATGGGGTAAAAATAGGTTTTTCCCATTTTTGACCATAAAAACACAAAATTTCACAATTTCTTTTTAAACCATTTTGTAGAGCTTAAAAAAACAAATAATGTAGTATATTGAAGCGTTATAATGCGCCTATTTGTTACGGAGAAAATTCAAAAAAATTGTAATTTTAAATTCCCATGTTATTCTTATGGAGAATAAGTCAACTGTTGTAGTTTGCTTGTTTATGAACATATTTTGATCAAATTTGGAAAATACATTTTGTACTAAACCACAGTACTTTTTAACATTTTACATTAAAAAAAATTTTTACCCTCCCTGTTGCAGCAAACCTAAGTACTCACTAAACTAATTCTGTTTAAATAGGGAATAAGTGTGATATTTTTAAGGAGACATTTTAGTTTAAATCCAATCAGGCAAATGGAAATTCGCTAAGTCTGCAGGTTTGCTGCGGCGGGGTATTTTTTTTTTTTAATTTTCTCCGTTACCAATAACTGTACAAAAACACTTTGATATACTAAATCATTAATTTTTTAAAGCTCTTCAACATTGTCTAGAGAGAAATTGTGAAATTTTGTGTTTTGAGGATTAAAAATGATAAAAACTAATTTTTCCCTCATAAGACTCTCTGTAAAACCCCGTTCCCATGGTCCGATCATGCTGGTTCACGAATTCATTCAAGTTTATCCCGCCTAACACCTTCAAGCCAAATTTAATCAAAATCGGAGAAAAATTACTAAAGTTATCACGCTCACGGACACGTATATAAGTATATACATATATAAAAATTTGAACGAATGGTGTTTTTGGCCTCTGGGGACATCAAAATAAAAAAGTAAATCGGTCCCGGGCCTAGGTCTTACTATGAGACCTACGCTAATAACTACTTCCCTATAGGTAAATTTGCTAAAAAGATCCCTCCTTCATAAAGGTAAATCGAAGTCCATAAACCACTGAAGAGGTTGATAAAATTATGTTAATCACGTCTGCAGGAAATATCTATTTCAGCGAAATGTGTTAAAGATTACTTTTGGCAAAAGTCAGGGCTTGTAATTTTTTATGAATGTTCTGAATGTGAAAATACCAACACAAGTAGCTCGTCACTAGTAAAATATTTAGTGCTTGGCTAATGCCAAATAAACGGATCCGCCCTAAGAGATAAAAGAGAATTTTATACTGTAGCACACTCTGGGTGTTCTTTGTTCAATGTTGTCAATTTTCTTTTTGAAAAAAAAATGACTACAGCTTATCCTTATGGGATGTCTACTAGTATCAAAAAGTGGATGATTGTATACACAAAATATTTCCTCACCAGCTGGGGAAGAACTTTTTCAACATGTTCGGCCTGTATCACTGTGGATCCTTCGGTCTTGGCTTGTTTTCCCGCTCGTAGTGTTGCCTCCACTACAGCCAGGCTTGCAACTTCTGCAACCAGCTGACCTGCTTCTTCCATCAGTTTTGTTTTATCTCCACGGAAAAAGTGCTTTAATATAGCCTTAGTTGTCTCCTACCAACAACAGGTAAAGTGCAGTAGAACTTAATTGCACGGCTCAATTAACAGGACCCCATCCAGATTATCAAAACCAAAACTCTGAATGATTGGAATTTGGGAAAACAGGATTTTTAAGAAAGGAATTGGCCCTAGGCAAATGACACTCCAGCCAATGTTCAATAGGACAGTACAATAGACTTCTCGCATGATGGACCCAATTTGCTCAGATTGAAATAGGTTACAGATTACCGCAAACTGAAATGATCTACATTGTATGAACTAATTTTATTTATTGTATTCTCCTTAAGTTTAGACGAATAATGGGAGTTATACTGTAACTGTAACACAGTATATTTCCCATACCCTGAAATTTAACTGATTGCTAACAGGGCTACACTTCTACATGTCGCACAAACTAGCAAGTCAGGACATGATTATCAATCTTTCTTGTTTGAATTTAGAAGATATCAAACTCTTCATGAATTATTCCAAGATGTCCTTTAAAAAGTAGGATTGACTTTATTTATTCTCTTAAGGTATTGAATATATTAGTACAATTTGTATGATTTGATGGTCTTTTAACAGAAAATTTTGTCAGTTTCCATTGTTATTTGACAGATGTAAGTGGTCAATGTTTTCTAAGGAAATAATTCAAACTTTGGTCTTGTTACTATTTAACCTAGACCTTGGTTAGCATATGATATGATACACCAATGGTGAATGAATCGTGGTCTAGTATCAATACACTCCCTAAGATCAATTTAAAGCAATTAGATATGATGGTAAGGACTACAACCTCCCTGTTCCCTGCCCACACTGATAATTGCTTTTCTGAGGCAAATTTATTGCTCCTCTGTTAAACGGGAAACGGAGAACTGGCCACCTCTGGCCCTAATCCACTTATAGAAGTTTGGTTAGGTTAGATTATATAAATATGGTCCCAGAATTTACGACCAGTAGCCAGGACCCCTACACTCCTGTTAAACAAATTCATTGTTTGGACCACAATATAATTTCATTTCCTAACTGACATTTTATAAGGATTCTGATGTAGGCCATACAGTACACATTTGTAAAAAGATTATTAGATTAGATTTTCAGGAAATGAATGTTAAAATACTCTAAGTTATATCGATATGGTCAGAATATGACCATGACTTGATTATCTTGCTTTGCATTTTTTTCAAAATTGTATGAGACACAGTATTTGACAAATTGATTTATTTCGATACAGCTTCAATTCTATTCATCACCCATAACAGCAATAATATACACACAAAATTTAAAATAATAGTGCATTTAAGTATGAAACTTACCACTTTAAACGATCGATCAGTTGATGAAGCCATAACTTTCCTCAAATTTCTGAACTAATCTGCTAAAAACATGTAGGAATCATCAACTATTTTATTAGTGAAACCATAGATAAAACATGTTTTATCTATGGTAAAATTAACTAGAGAAAGACATAATCAGCTTCATCCCCACGCCCTTTTTAATCTTTAACATTGTTGGTAGGCTATAACAAATATACTTTTTCCAAAAGGTAAACATTCAAATTAATGGCTCTCTGTAATCAGTGTTTAAATTAATTATGACAAATTCCTTTAACAAATTAACGTTAGTCAGTAAAACTAGGAATTTCAATAAATTTACAGGGTGATTGATATAAGTGTGCCAGCTGGTTTATTCGAAAACTATAAGAGATATAAAAAAAAGTTAAATGGTAAGTGCCTTGGATTTTTATTTTAAAAATTGTAGTCAAGTTAAAAAAATATTTTAGTCGCCATTTTTCCAATATGGTCGCCAACTTTGATTTTTCTTATGGAACACCCTGTATTTTATGATGTATTCTGGTAGAAAATGTAATTTTAAGACAATTTTACTCTTGTGTTTTTGTTTTTTTCATAACCGTTTCAAAGATAATAATGGTTAAAGCTGTAAAATTTCAAATAGTTTTTGAATAAAACAGCTGATATGCTTGCTTAGGCCTTTTATCGAAACTCTTTCTCATACCGAAATTTCAAAGCTTTAACCATTATTATCTTTGAAACGGTTAGGTTTATGAAAAAAAAACACAGGAATAAAATTGTCTTAAAATTACATTTTCTACCAGAATACATAATAAAATACAGGATGTTCCATAAGAAAAATCAAAGTTGGCAGCCATATTGGAACAATGACGGCAAAAAATGTTTTTTTCGACTTGACTACAATTTTTAAAATAAAAAATCCAAGGCACTTGCCATTTAACTTAGTGTTAGCAAAACGGGAGGGCCGATGGAGACCCAGGTCTACTCCCTTCACGCGCATGCACCCCCAAAGGTCTTCATCGGCACTCCCGTTTTGCTAACACTGTATTTTGATATCTCCAAATAGTTTTCGAATAAAACAGCTGGCACACTTATATCAATCACCCTGTATGTAGGTACCTCATTTGCACTGAACTTTTGAAATTCCTAGCACTAGTGTCTTTCAGTAGAACTTTTATTTCTGAAACAAATCCAAAATAATTGATTCAGTTTTGTTCAAACAAAATTAAAAAATTTTTGAAAAAGTAGCCTATCTGTAGACCAAAAAATTATTGGCAGAATAATGTTGATATTCATAAGGTGGGCCTAAGTTACTTCTGAAATAAACATTTGCAACGATCAAGGAAATCTAAAATCAATAAATCTTAAAAAGATTCTTTGGCTTTAATGAACACTGTAGGCCTAATAAGGAAACAATGAGCCATCATTGTAATCATTGCCAGATGCTTTAAATCTTGTAGGCTAAAACTAAATAGGAGAGACAATGTAAAAAATTAATAAAAGTTGAATGGTAAATATGTGCTTTATTTTCAGTTTTAAATAGGCTATATATGAAAAACGGAAAAAAACTTGCAGATTCTTTCACTACTACTTTCTTCTTTAAATTGAACTGGAAACTGTATAAATTCTTTATATAGTTTTTGAACAACTTTTAAGCAAATATTTTTAAGGGTGTATTTAATGTGCATTTGACTTATCATTTTTGGTACTTTAATACAACTGACAGTTTAAGAATTATTAAAATGTTTTGGGATAACCCATAGTTAAAATAATAGCATAACAATGAGTAAAATATTGAGACAAAAATGTGTACAAAAAGGTTAAATAAACAGACAAATCAAACTGAATTGGCAATAGTTTAAACAATTTACGATTAAGGCTCAAAATATGTGCTGTACAGTACATAGAGTTTAAAATGTGTTGGCCTCTTACTTACTTAAGCCTAAATAGGCCTAGAATTTAGTAACAGAAAGGTACTTAAATTTCTCAAATTAGGCCTAGAAGTTAGAGTGCAAGGCAGGCTAAATAATCTTCCTTTTTTTAATACCAACTAAATTAGATGCAAATACAAACTCTGTTAGCTCAAAAGGAGGCTCTTAGAAGATTACGGTTTCTTAGGTTTTTCTGGTTTGTTTACAGCTGGTTTATCAGACTTTAGCGGAGTTTCTGGATTTGACGACTTATTGGCTCGCAACACTGAGCCTGGGCTTGGATAAGGGCGCATCTGGTAAAGTGATCCTGCAGCGGTTGTGTCAACACCAGTTTTAGCTTCATTCCCTTTGTTAAGACCGTCAGACCATCCTCCCCTCGGACAATCTGAGTAAGCAGCTGGGTCCATTGGGTCGATGTTGTTTACTTTCAGTTTATTTCTCCCTTTAGCTCTTGATTTTTCCAATTCTTCCAGCTTCCTCCTTTTTACCTCTCTCTTACGTTCAGCCTCATCATCACTTTCTTCATCAGTTGATTCGCTTTTATCACTTTTCTCATCGGAGTCATTGTCTTCCGAGTCAGATACCAAATCTCTCTGCTGGCGACAAATTGCAGCTGGTTCTGTGATTACAGCTTTAGGATGGGATGGCGGCAGCCATGAAACTGAATCACTATCAACTTCCCAGTAATAATAATGTCCAATTCCTGCATCATAGACCTCCTTCCAATGGCTCGGTAGTGGATATTTAGCTAACATCTTTTTTCTTCTCCTCATATATTTAGGATTTGGTTCTCGCTTTTCCCAACTATCTTCACAAAACTTTGTGCAGTCATGGAATATGTTGTTTTTATTTGGGCAATATATATATCCTTTAAACTTCCTGGCCGAACTATCCAAAAACGAATCATTACTGTCATCGCTGAAATTTGTAAGGATTTTGTGAGCCATTTTATTGGGCTCTTGGTTTTCTACCTGGTCATCATAGTTTTCAGCAATCACCTCTTCTTCCTCTTCCAATCTGGTGTTATCTGATTTCAACACAGATTTTGAATTCTGATCAGTTTTAGAGTTTTCATCAGATTTCTCTTGTGGAGTATTTGGAGTGACTAAGCCACGCTTAGCTAGTTTAGCTGCAAGAGCAGCTGGAAGTGGCATGTTGACTTAGACAAAGTATTACTAAGATTACAGAACTTAATAAATCTGTAAAGTTTACCTTGAAAATGTTCTTTTTGAAGATACACTTAAGGTCCGGTAAGTTTATAGGTTACCTACCTGAGTACATGAGTAGGTAAAGACAAAGTTAAACCATGTTAAACATTATCCAGTCCACCTAACTGAAGAACAGTTTGATATATCATTTGTGAACAATTAAAATACTTCTGTTGTTGATTGTAAGTAATGATTATTAAAGTTAAAGTTTAGTTTTCCTAAAGCAAAATCAGAATAAGTTACCATTCATTAGTCAACAAAAGAACAAAAATTGACATTGACAATGACAATCTGATTCTGACAATGTCGTCAGTCGTCACCTCAGGGAGAGCACAAGTTCACATCAGTGTTTCCATCCGCAAGAAAAAAATATCCCTGGGCCAACGTCAAAAAGTCCCTAGTTATCCCTAGTCCGTGTTCTAATAATCCCTCCAATTATCCCTCTCCATCAAATCTAGATAACTTATTATTTTTGCAGCAATACCAATGGATATCATGTATAGCCACCTAAAATATGGTAACTGGTGATATTATTCTTCAATATCCAAAATTATTTATAAAGTAATACTTAAAAAAAAACATTTTTGCACCACTAAAACCGCGGCCATCTTTAACTCCAGGCAGGCCGCGGCCTGAGAATTGGCAACGTTGCAAGTACCGTAGTATTGTTTAGCGCCAGACGTCCCATAAGTTAACATGGAAATAAAACATAATATAGAATCGAAAACCAAAACAATATAAATTGAAAATCTATTTCTGTACATTCAATGTGGAGTCAACATTTCCATAGCTCCGTAACCAAGCTTTCGTATTCTTAAAAAAAATACATAAATAACATTAGTTTAGCGTTCTCCAAACAAACACCTTTTACAACACTATTCTTGCAACGATGCCACTTCGAAGGCCGCGGCCTCCGGCCTGGAATTAAAGGTAGCCGTGATTAAAAACTGTCTATGTGGTACAAAACAAGATTATTAACATGGCCACCATGCCTTGGTGAAAAGGTTACACCAAGTTACTTACTAACCAAAAAACATCACAGGAATCACCGGTAAAAAAAATCAAAACGAAAACAAACATTCGACATTGACACAGGGCACAGGGCTACTAAGAAACATACAGTAATCTAGATCCGCCATTCCATTCCACCGACCAACTCCAGCCCTTCGCTTGTTTCGTGCAGTGTTGGCTGTCGTGGGGTCCCAGTTTATCGACATCCCAAAAGATCGACACTGAAATAGTCCCACTTTGTCGACAACTCAAAATGTCGACAGTGTCGGTAATATGGGATGTCTGTAAAGTGGGATGTCGGTTATGTGGGATGTCTGTTATGTGGGACGGTTGTGTAAATTTTCCCACTTTATCGACACGCAAAATGTCGACAAGCAAAACAGATCGAAAAAGAGCGGGAGATTCAAATTGAAGGTGAACAGCTCTTGCTGAACAGATCAGTTGAGTATAATGAGAGTCGTTCTTTTTTTAACTCCGAACGACTTCTATTCACGACGCTTGCAGTCTCCTTCAAATTTGTCAATGCTATATCAACTATCTTGTGTATATAATATGTGTTCTGCCGTTTGAAGGCTTTACAATAATTTGACATTTGTTACACTTGTATTATGATTCGTTATACTGTTTTTTTTTCGTGTAAGAAGGTACCTAGTTAAAACTTGCTACCTAGGCCAAACTTAGCTTGAGGATGAATATGGTATCCATCTAAAGTGTTTTCAATCATAAATTTATTTGAAATATACAGGTGTTCATTTGAAAACTTTCCATATCTCTTGTGTGCAAAGGTAAGGCGTTTAACACTTGTTTGTTCTCATTTCCCCCTAATTTGGACATGCAAAATCCAATAAAATAATTTTTAATTTTGAAAAATGCCCCAAAAGGGCCCAATTTGGGGGGTAGGGGTGCTTTTTGAGAAATTTTCAAATATAAACATGGGTTGTGTGATACATCAATTTAAAGGTCTAATCACCCCGATCATTTTTGTGCAAACAAATTTAATTATCTTTAACCGTATTTACAGGGTGGATCAAAACGTTTTACAAAAGGACTATGAAGTTAACTACCGTAATACTCTAACTACTGAACGGAACAGCGCCAAATTTCTTTCCAATCTTATTCATGAGTTACTCTTTAAGATAACTTGTAGTAAGGGCATTTTCCATGTTATTTTCTAATTATAAAAAAAATCTCGAATTTGAAGAATAAAAGAAAGCTGAAAACTCAAAACTGTTAAATAGCAAGCTAGGCCTATAACAAATCTTCTATATATATAATATCCAATGTATGTTTGTTTGTATGTATGTATGTTTGTTTGTCCTTTGTGGACTCCGAAACCGATCGACAGATTGTAATGAAACTTTCAGTTATTATTAAGCATTATTCAAGGATGGTTTGTGTGAAGTTTGGTGTAGATCCGTCAAAAGGGCTCCGCCCCAGTGGCTCTGGAGTTTCCCATGTTAACCTTATGAGTACTCATATTTAAATGGAAGATTCTTAACAGCTGGTTCAACTAAAGAATTTAATTCTATGATGTTCAATAGCATTAAGAAATTAATAGGTTTACCAACAGGGTGCAGCACTATTATTTTTTTTTTCAATTTATGACAACAGCTAATTTGCAACCAAAAGGTGAGTGAGCGTAGCGAACGAACTTCAACCAAGACGTGATTGAGCCATGCGAACATGCTCATCTTGAAAATGAACGAACATTTGACATAAAACCACATTAGGACAGGACGACGTCTGTCGGGCCAACTAGAAATATATAAAAGAAAGTTGTGTTAGTTACAGCGTTTATAACTAGAAAACTACTGGACCAATTGGCATGAAAATTTACAGGGATATTCCTTAGGTACTAGAATAACATAATAGCCTGTTTCCGTTTCAAAAACCCTTAAGGGTAGCGTCCTAAGGCCCTTTGCAGTTTACATGTTAATCTTATGGAAGGTAACCATTAATAATATGTAGCCTTAACGGAGGCAGACAGTGTAAAATGTTTAGGTCTAACTCTTGACAAAAAATTAAATTGGAAATCTCATATCTGGTGCAAGAGACAGCAAATGGAATTAAAAATTTGTAAACTCAATTGGCTACTAACTAGGTACGAATTCAAAATTATCATTGGCTAAGAAAATTTTACTGTATAAAATTATGATCAAACCAATTTGGACATACGGAATTCAACTTTGGGGGACCTCGAGCAAATCCAACATCGAAATTCTTGAACGATTTCAGGCTAAGACGCTGAGAAGAATTGGCGCACCTTGGTTCGTATCCAACACTACAATTAGGAATGAATTCAAAATTAAATCAGTGAAAGAAGAAATTACAGACCTTAGCAAAAAGTATCAAGAAAAATTAGAATATCATCCGAACAGTCTTGCTGTTAATCTGCTGGACAATAGTCAGTGCATTACCAGATTAAAAAGTGTTATGCATGTGCTGGACCTAAGCTACAGATTTCTGTAAATATTTATGATTGATCCAATTTTTGGCAAGACTTGTTGATGAACAGGTGCTTGCTTCGTGACATTGTTTTGATAAATGTTTTACTTATTGTTCTCATATTTGTTTGACCAGATTGTAATAGTATATTTCATTACTAGGACCGAAAGTGGCATTTTCCGTCGCGCGCCCAAGTTTTTGTGTGAGGCTACACACAGGGAACCCTAATTTCACGTGCGAGGCGAAGCCGAGTAAATGAGAGCTATTTTCAGGACGGGAATAATGGAGCAAGTGCCGGATAATAACTTTCGGTACGAGTTATGAACGATACTTTTCATCACGACGCAAAAATACACAAACACAGAATAGCAGACCTCAGTATATTAAAACAATTTGATTTCTCAATTAATTTGATTGAACATCAAAATAAAATAAAATCTTCTAAAAAGAAACCTACGTATATTTCTCAATAAATTTTGTTTAAACATCAAAATAAAAGAATAACACAACTTTTAAAAATACATACAGCTGATTAAAATCATTAAATTAAACCGTAACAAAACACTGGCGCGCGTAGTGAATAAATGGAGAACTAATTGAGAGCGAGGGAAAGTAAATTTAAGCGAGGGAAAATCAGCTGATCGATTTTCCCTCGCCCTAAATTAGAGCTTGGGAAACGACTACTTTCATTGATATCAGCTGTTATCGAAAATAGTTACTTTCGTTAAGGAGTGATGAAAAATAAATTCTGATAAAAAAATGTAACTGAAGGCAAGTGAGCGCAGCGAACGAGCTCATCTTGAAAATGAACGAGCATTTGACATAAAACCACATTAGGACAGGACGACGTCTGTCGGGCCAGGTAGTTAAATATAATGTGAAATGTCCTTTTTAAACAAACATTTTACGTATTTAAGTTTTCTTTCTATCTCTTACCGTTTCTATCTCTTACCGTAAAAATTGCAGTAGAAAAACACAATCTTCTATGGTAAAATTATAACTAGTTGTCTAATAAAACACATTGCATTTGCTCAACGATGTAGTAGGATTAATTACAAATTGATCTACTATTTTTAATTGTGTCAGTTCATCTTAGACCATTCATCCTGTCCCTTTGTCATTGGTAACTGAGAGTAACTGGAAAACTTCCTAATTTAATCATTTACAGCTATTATGACTTCAATAATCTCGTTTAAGTGACTAATTGAATGATATACGGTTTAAAGAAAAATAAAAAGTGTTTGTCAAATGACTTAGAATAGGCTATATGAGTTCCTGTTAGGAAATGTAAATTAATTAAAAGTGTTAATCTATTTCGATTATTTTATTTAAAAATCTAAAGATCAACTGTTGTATGAAACATTTGTACATATTCATAAACAGGCTGTTATTGCCGTAATGTCTTATTTGAACCGTTTACCTATTAACTTTTACACTTATTGTAATAATCATGTGATTGCGTTTACCAAAGTTTGTTTAGTGCCTAAGCTAAGTTAGACAATAAACAACAATGAATTTTTAAATTTTAGCTAATAATCTAGCTCATAGAATACTTTTTCGATTCTCATTTTTTACTATGTTATAATTGATGATTAATGTCTCATGGCACACTCTCTTATATGTCGCTCTAAACACAGATTGTTTAAATTCCTCTTAACGCTGATGTTTTGACACTAAATACACAATTTAAGCTAGTCGGACGGCAATAACCCATTAAATTTAGTAAATAAATTAGCTTTGATGGACGAAGCAACCAACCCCTTCATACATTGCAATGTAATTACTAACGTTGATTGTTTCAACTCTTATAATTTAAACCAAACAACTGTAATGCTATA